CAGAGTATAAGTAAGTATAAGGGCTTCGTATATTTTCGTCTAGTTGAAAGAGAAATAATAAAAAAAGAATAAGATGCGGTGATACATTGAACAGCATTTAAGATTCTTTCAAAGAGTAATGACGAGAAAAGTCTACGCATAAAAGAGGCCCTATTGATAAATAGATTAAGGTAACCCAATAAAACTACCTCTGCAATCAATATTTTACTGAAATTATGATTGCTGGTCGTATGACTTCATGTAAAAAACTGAACCCAAAATTTATAGGAAGAGGGTACATGAGAGGAATTGGTCTAGGTAGAATGCTCAGTCTCTTTAAACGTAATATTAAGTAACTCATGGTGTGATATCTTTGTGATATGTGACAATACAGTAGAGATCTTGTCAATGACAAATAAGTATGCGTGTTGCCTGCAGAACAGTGACTTCGATAGATGTGTAGCTGCTCAAAACCCGCTGCTTAGAAGCAAAACAAAAGGCTGAAATGGGTACCATACTTGAGTGAGAAAAGCTGGTTACAGAAAAATCCAATTTAAAGTTTTTTGGAAACAGCTAATGACAATTTTTGCAGGGAAGAAAATAGTAGCCTGGTAAACGTCCAACATCTAAGTGAAGTATGCTGGGGGACTCAGCATCTCAGCCAGTGGTGTTGGAACTATACACAAAATTGATGGCAACCTAACAAATGACACGTACAAGCAGATTCTTAACTATCACGGCACTCGTTTAGGAACCAGGCCAATAACACATTGACTCTAAGCATGCAGAAAATGTGGTAGAACAATACCTGATGGTACCAAAGGCTAATGGAACACTCGTAACCATAGTTTGGCCTATAAAACGTTTAGCTACGAATACTATAAAGCAAATCATACACTGTTCTATCCAGGCAGACATTCATACATCCTTCTATGTATCACACAATCTTCTAACATTTATCTGTTTGTGCATCATTCGATCAATTATTAATCTAGCCATAAATCAGCTCATGTGCTATTCATTCAGTCTTATACCTCTTTTCTAGTCACCTCTCTATCTGTCTACTTCATTATTCTTTGTTTGTTCATAAAAACTGTACAGATGAAACTGAAATTCTGTGATTTTGTTATTTCCATTTGTTGAGAAATATAGTTTTTAGCTCGTGTGCCCATTTCTGGTGAAGCTTTGTGTCCAATTATTTTAAAGTTGGCTTTATCATCTCAGTTTTAGTTTATCACAAAACCACTGAAATGTACACCTTGCTTGCAATGCTAGTTAATATTCGAGTAAACGAACATTTATGATCATAATTATTTAAA